CTGTCTCCCTTGATAGAACCGGCCATCTCCATGTCTTTAACGCTGTTCTTTCCTATCCCCACTTAAATTATTACGCCTCTTCTTCTCCAGTTTGCTCCCCTGGCTCTTCCTTCTCCATTTAATCCCCTCGCCTCGCCTGCCCTCTCCATTGTCGATCCACTTAGAAGAGAGACAGATCTCAAGTGCACTTTGTCTTCCCCAGCACACTTGCCCGCACACTCCACCAAAATCAGACGCAAAAAAGGGAGATCCAATCCAAAGGAAGAAGAATGGTGATGGATCTGACATTACTTGGCTGGGTAGTACACACTGAGGAGGGACGCATCAATTGGCTCCCGTACAGTTCATGCTGGTGATGGACTCTTTTTCCCCACTACTTGCACCAGATCAAGGAAAGAAGCAAGGCCACTTGATATTGTTTCGTTCCACCAAGTCAACTTGATATTGTGGGGAGTAATTTCTCTTCCCCATTAGTTCCTCCTCCCGGGTCGGGTCTTTCCTCATGGGTCGTGGTGAATGCGTGCTATCTCTAAACTCAGTCTCCAGGAAATTAGATGGCCGACAAGCGATGGCTCGATGTGTGGGGAATTGATGACAGTTCTCCATTCTCTATTCTTTTTTTGTATTATTAATGATTAATTTAGACCTTAGTTCGTCTTCAACAGAAAAGTCGGAAACAGTACTGCTTCAGCCTTGATGATGTTTATTGGTATATGGTTGTATTAGTAAGGAGGGGTATCTGAGTATCTCTTCAATCTCTTTAGGTGGAGCATATGAGATTGTCATGTTAGAACTGCACTGTATAGGAGTGCTTGCAGGGGAAAATCACTCGTGTGTAACTGGAATCTCGGTTTGTCTTTGATCGCTTATTCTGTAGGATTCCCTTGGATGAACTATAGAGTACACATTAATTCATTTCAGTTATCAATTATTATCACTCTGCTTCATAAGCTATCTAACTGGTATTTGTTTACTTGCCGAATTACTATTTGTATATGTATATTCAGGGAGATGAGGTGTTCTCTTTCTTTTGCAATACTACGAGGATGGCACATTCAGTTCAGATATGCCACTTGGCAGAAACACTTTCTTTACAGTTTTTGTACTAATTTTTGTGATGAAACATATCATGTTTGTTCTCTTATTTTTGGCTGAAAATCAATTACGAAGGATACTACCCAGTTGGTATATGCAACTCCCGTAAAATGCAAGAGAAATGGACTTTTGGTAGTTCTGGTCACTTGGGAGCTTATTTTATTCTAAGGTGAAAAAGGCCCGTCACTTTCTTCTGAATCAAGTATTATATCAGGTTGCTTACCTACATGTTTTGCCCAACACTGGAAACAATAGATTTATGCTTTGTTTCTCTGGAAAAGTTACTATGGATTGGGTTGGATATATATATGGATTGGTAGTGTTGAATCATTATGCAATTCATGACTTGATTTATCTTGCCTGTTTCTTCTACAATAAACATTATCAGGTAAACAGAGTTAATTGATTGTCATTTCATAATCATAAGATCACATTAAAGCGGCAACCAACTCCTTTTAAACTTTTTTTGGATATTTTTATTTGGATGTTACTAAAGAAATGACTACTAAGGTCTGAATGATACAAAAAAGGTAATCTTTTGCAGTATATCATTTGGCCAACACATTACCAATGCACTTATGGACTACATTACCCTTTTTTTTTTTGAAATATGATGTAGCTATATCCAAGTTTAAACAAACATATATCTTATATACTCCTTGCATGGTTTCACTATTTCTCACTCTATAAAGCCAAGCGTATGTAGTGCTAAAAAATCCCCGCAGCAACGCGCGGGGTATTCATCTAGTTTGTTATAAGCAATGGACATATTATACCCAGTTACTTTCCCGGATTTAGTTCAGTCTGCACATCTATTCCGCTTTCTGTTCATCAGATTGATGATGTGGCTCTTAGTGGTGGCGATTGTTATACATCCAATTAGTCAACTGAAAATACCATTAATCCGCATCAGTAATTTACGCAAGTTTGTCGTTGTCATATCATTAATTTACGCAGTTTCTTGCAACCTTTAACGCAATAAAGTTTGTAATGTACACCGTGAAGTGAGGCTTTATTTTCCTTCACCTTCTTTCAGCCTAGGAAGGAAGCAGAGTTTGATCCAGAAAGTTTTGATTTATTTGCCTATATATTTGATGGGGTTGATGGTACATGACCTAGCCGTGATACAAGAACAAGACTATTTGATGTAGAACTCAGGCAGAGCATTAGTTGTTTTCTTTCAGTTTTTTTTATGAGGGTGTTTTCTTTCAGTTGATTAATTTGCCATGACAGGATCTCATCTTTCCCATGGTCTCATCCATTTATGCTGCCCCTCATCTCTCCTGATGGGATCTGTAAGGGGGAGAGAGCACTGTGCTGTCGGTAGGGTCTTATGAGATCCTGTCGTGGTTGCCAACATGTCTTTATACTTTTCCTGGAGGCTTCTAAATTCAGGAATCTCATGCCCACTGGCTCACCGCTGCATTAACAATGAATGACTCCTACATCACGGAAGGGATCTTTTTAGTAACGCTGTCAATCTATTGTTGCTAGAATATAACACGTACGGCTCTATCAAGTTTCTAATGTTTGAAATTTGTAATTTCTAAGAATGAGGTGCCTATTTCTTTGTCTTAGATATATTGAGAAACCTCTTCCCGATTGGTAATTTGTATTTTGTCCTTAGTTTCAGCACATATTCTTTTGTGTCTGTAAGATTATTTTAGGGAATTATTCTCAATATTTTGTGTTTGCAAGTTCTATGGTCACCTAGACCTGCATTATTTGCGCGTGAACTCATTAAATTCTGCTCTTTGGTAACGAACAAATATATGTTTAAATTTATGCAAAGTTAATTCCCATTTTTTATGTGTACTTGCTACATTTTCTACCATTCTATTAAAAAATAGACGGGTGCAGCAACGCGCGCCTTCCATGATCTAGTTCTTGGTTAATACTACAGATATTATCAATCAGTTGGATCAGCTTGACCAGATATTTCTGCATTGCACACGCATGAAGATTAAGACATTAAGTCAATTAGGAAATTCCTTAGTTCCTAAATCACTAGTAGAAAAACGACCTTTAGTACCGGTTTGTAAGGACCTTTAGTCTTGGTTCTGGAACCGGCACTAAAAGGTGAGGACTAAAGGTACCCCCCTTAGTCCCGGTTCAACACGAACCAGGGCAAAAGGCCCACCAGATGGCACGAGCCCGTGCGGTGGTCTGGGGGACCTTTAGTACCGGTTGGTAACACCAACCGGGACTAAAGGATATTTTTTTGAATTTTTTGGAAAAAAATTTCATTTTTTTCAAATTTCAATTTTTTGAATTATTTGACCATTTAGTCTCTAATCACCCCTCATAACTGCTCAAGTGTACACCACTCATTCCAAATCATCTAACTTTCCGGTCGGTCACCATCCTCTCACTACTCCAGCCTGAGCACGCTTAACTTCCGAGTTCTATTCCTCCTAGTTTCCAAGTCAGCACTTGTTATTTTTCTAACAATAGTAAGCTGTCAATCCTATTAACCCTCAGGAGTTTAGCTTGAGTATGAAGTCACACATTTCATTGTTTGAGTTTGAAACTATTATTCTAAAATACAATAGTTATTTAGTAACATTAATATTTCTTGAATAAGTAGTTTGACCATAGTTTGACCAAAATTCAAAAATGCTAAAATAATTATTTAGTAACACGAATATTTCTTGAATAAGTAGTTTGACCATATTTAACCAAAATTTTAAAAAAAACTGAAATTTGAGGATATCTTTTTTTCCTTTAAGAATTTGAGGATTCTAAAAATTTGCAAAATGGCCTACGGCGGTCGAAATCGGATGCGGATTTCCGTGCTGATTTTTTTGATAGATTATGCGGGTTTTTTCGACATTGTATGCAAAAGATATGGTCATTTTACTTTTTCCTAACACTTTTATGCAAAACATGTCGAAATTTATGTTTTTAAATTTCCCTAACTACTAGATGTAGTAACATAACTACATCTTGAAGATTTTAATTTTTGAAGTTTTATCATTTTATTTTGTTTTTTTTTCAAAACAGAAAAAGGCGATACGGTGGGAGGGGTAGAGTTTGAAAATTGCCCTTTAGTCCCGGTTTGTGACACAGACCGGCACTATAGGTTAACCCTTTTGTCCCGGTTTGTGACACAAATCGGGACTAAAGGGGCTCGTGGGGCCGCGGCCTGACGCCAGCCTGCCATCACCCCTTTAGTACCGGTTCGTGGCACGAACCGATACTAAATGTTCAACATGAACCGAGACTAATGCATAGCCGTTTGAATCGGGACTAATGGTACCATTAGTGCTGGTTCATTTAAAAACCGGGACTAAAGAGCCGAACATTAGTTAGTTTTTCTACTAGTGAATGCCTGACACTTATAAGTGAACCATGGAATCATATTCATGCATTGCACACGTGCAAGATGATGATGTAGAAATGGGTGGCTCAAGGACCGTGAACTTGCATCTTATAAATTTTTTGTAGAGGGAGTACCTTTTTCTGTTCCAACCATAGTTCTATTCGCAAAATGTCCTTTTTTTTATCGAATATCCAATTCTGAGCCCGAGCTCATCTACACCCGATGAACATTAAAACAAAAAATAATGCTACAAAAATTCAAAAAAATCTGATTCTTTTGTGCAGAGAGATGACTGAGTGCGTGAGGTGTGTGCCAAATTTCAAAGCATTTGGACATCCGAAGTAGCTCTCAGAAAAAAAATCTGGTTCAAACAGTAATTATTTCACAGACCCCAATTTTTCACGGGCCAGTGCGTTTAGCCCCTAGCATAGAGCCCAATAAGAGAGCCGATGCGCTTAAGACGAGCGCGGCTGGGGACGGCTCCTCTCCGCCGCTAAGGGAAAACCTAGACTATCCCCAATCCCCAATCAAAATCGAGGATCCATCGTCCCCAATCCCGACTCCAAATCGAGGATCCATCGGGATGGATGACGGCCCCAACTGGTCGCTGTCGTCGCAGGTGTCTTCCGCGACGTCCTCACGACCCGTGGACGGCGGGCCGGCGGCGCCGGCGAGGAAGAGGAAGCCGGGGACGTGGAGGAGGCTCCCGCGCACCCTGCCGCTGGAAGTGGAGGTCAGGATGAAGCTGGGTTCCATAACGCATGAGGAGCTGAATCGGCAGCACCTGGCGCGCGCCGAGGAGCTGGAGAAGATGGACGACAGCGGGTGCGACACCGAGGAGGCCAAGATCGCCTTCAAGGCGTTCAAGGAGGAGCATGTCCGCTGGTACCGCAAGCTCGCCGAGGGCTGGCCGGAGAATATAGTCATCAACTACAACCCGCAGCCCAGCGACACGGAGTAAGGATACTAATTTTTGACTCGCTCCCTGATCCACCGCTGGTTAATGAACATGCAGTTAAAAGTATATGGATGCAGTAGAAACACGACCATGTCTGGACAGAGGCGGGCCCAGGAATTGGAGACTGTGTATTCAAATTTTGAAAACCTTTTTTTGAAAGCATGTAGGCTTCCTTTTGGCCCGAACCGATTATAGTAGCATAATGTACTAGTTGCAAAATAAATGTATATTATATTCATTAAAAAATGATAACTTGGAATTGTACAACATATGGAGGTAGTAATTGTGTTCAACAATGCGTGGCAAAATCTAAGATATATAGAGGGTAGAAACATATCAAATGATCAGAAAGCTTACAAATTACAAGATAACTTTGTGATCCTTGATGTTTTGAAAATGATAACTTGCACGAAGAATTCCCTTTAAATGAATGTGACCAAGCAATCATTCAAGTATTCCCTTGCAAATTATGTTGTCTGAACAATTCACGATTGACTGCAAACAAGTCTCTAATTTTACTAGATTTAAATAGAAAGACAAGTGGTCATTTTAATTTGCTTAAACTTGTACGAGTACGTCCGTACTACAGCCTGCTCCCTGCTGGACACTGGATATAGTATGAGAAGAAAATTGTGTCCGGGCCAGCAGTGATGGATGGATTCAGGTCGATTAAGTATCGGTTTGAGAGGAGAGATCCCAAATTCAGAAGTTGCAGGATTAATACATCGATCTGAATAGTAATCATACCTTGAATAGATTAATATGTGTGTTGTGGCTTTGAAATTGGATCGATGCCTGCCGCCAGGTGCAGACTTCAGGGATCAAAATGTGAGAACCAAAGGGAGCGAGGGATGGATTCGTTGCGCCGCCGTGTGCACGTGCGATCGCCGATCAGGCGATGGCAACAGACTTGGCGGCTCGCATGGAAGAGAACTGGGGAACAGAGAAAGGGAGGTGCCTAGGCGGTTCCCTCTCGTGAGTCCTGCTGCGTCTGATCGATGGACCTATTTTTTGGGCGATGATGGATGTGTGGGTGCCGTGCGTACAGCGTGCAGCGATGTGGGCCGATGGGCCAAGTCGTGGTGGCGAGCGGTGGCTAGCCTCCGTTTATGGGGTGAATTGCTTAACTAGCATCCAGTTTAGTTTTTCCTTATACATATACACTGTATATACTACATACCTAGTTCTTTTGCCAAAAATAATGGGTATTCAACTGAATACCCTTGAATTGAGGTGGGCCCGCCCCTGTGTCTGGCAGCGGCAAATTGGTTTGTGCATGGCAGATATGTGTGATGTTAGAATCCAGATTAGTTTTTAATTAGGATCTCAGAGGTACTCCTAAAAAAGATTATTCATTTAGTTTCTTCCTTGTTGTTTCTATACTAATAAAACACCAAGAATTTGCATGTTTTGTGTTCTTCTACCCAGTTTGAACACCTACATATCTATCTATGTTATCTAGAACGACAAGGGGGTCAAGGGCCATGTAAATCATCGATGAAACATGGAGCTACTAAAGAGATGACACAATTTTATCTACCTAATGTGATAAAATAAGAGCTAATTAGCTTATTTCGCATGCAGGGAAGAGTTCCTGACCGCCGAGGACATGGAAGCACGCTTCACTAATCGTAACCCCACTCATGGAGCACAACTAAAACACTTTGCTGGCCTTGCTTTGGCACATTACAATGCCAGAAAGACCGAGGTATATGCCTTGCATGCACAACTTATCAATCTAATTTATTTTTTTTCTTTTGAGAACACCAATCTGCTATATAATTCTACTCGTTGATGCACTAACAAGATCTTCCTAAAACAATTTTCAACAACCAGCACAAGCTTGACCTTGCAGAAGCCTTGACATCTAACTGCTTTTCTGAGGCGTGTGGGACGACATATGCTCATGTCAACTTCATCGCCATTCCCGGGAAGACTAATAACCCTATGAAGAGGTTGTTCTTCGCTGAGCTCATGCTCATTCCAGAGCTCCAGATGGAGGAGGATACCGAGCCTATGCGTGTACTGCATGTCTCAACTATTGATGATGTTCCCTGTTATGGTATGTTTTTTGAGCAATTTTAGTATGCTCCCTCTTACCTCCTTTTTTGGGAGGTAAGAAGATAATAGTTACTCGGATCCACTACTTAATGAAATCAACGACTCAGATCTATTATCTACTCTTACATCTCATGTGAAAAGGGGAGGTAAGAGGGAGCGTGTTAAAATTTGGCTTTCTGGATTTCTTATTATGTATTCTGGTACTGTACCTAAATATTGGTTGCTAGTTTTGTATTGTCACCACTTGGTAGAGGTATTTTGCAAGTAAAATTGCGCTTTTGGTGGTTTAAGATCCTATCATTAGGTACCAACCCTTACCTGGTGACACAACTAGGGACCAAGAAAATGTTAGTGACTCTAGGTCCTTCGACAATTAATTGGTGCTATGTAAACAATGGTTGATATCTATTTTCTTGGTAGTGCTGCTATATTTGCACCCTTTGCTTCCTAGTCTAGGTCTACTGCATGTGTTGAAGTGATACATGGAGACCACTCCTATTCATGCATAAACCTTGTGATATGTACCGTATACCTTGATTCCGAAAAATAATATGCCTGCTTTACTTTTGTTTGCTTTGCAGGTGGATGCCATGAAATACATCGGAAGATCAATCACAGGATGAGGGGCGTCATGGACTACGAGCGATGCCACGCGTGTCACGACATTCTGAAGCATCCAAAAGGAGATATGTTCATTGGAGGGCATAATAGCACGAGGATGCCCTACTACTCTGCAACCTAAAATGTTTAGTGGTACCAGCTTATAGAGGTTAAAATTACCATCATGTGTGATGTTTGCATAACTAAAGTGTAGATGTTTAATATTATTGTTATATTTGGTGTGTGATGGTGTAAATTATTGGCAGGTGTGATGTTCACGTGCCTATTGTTTTA